GTGCTTATTTAAGTGTTACATCATCAGCAGTACTATTGTTTTGATTGAAGATGATCATTCAAAATTCTGTATACATTCACCCAGAAGCATTTTTAATAATGATTTCTAATAGCAAAGTAAGTTTAAAGTAAGTGCTCACACACTTCAGCTGTTCAATATCCACTTATGGAAGGTATGAAGAAAAATAACTTGTCAAGATACGCTCTATTGGGCCGGGGATTTAGCTCAGTGGTTCCGCCACCTGCTTTGCAAGTGCAAGGATCCAAGTTTGATCCTGGGTACCAAAAAAAAAGATACGCTCTAATTCTTGGGATTCAGATAGGATTTTACATACATGACAATGTATTTTAGTTCAAGATAGTTAGGAATGATGGTATTTTGCTTTCGTTTTTTCGCCCATTATAGTTAATTGATTTAAAATAGCTAAATAAAGAAGAGCCTCAAATTCTTTTAATAGTTTCTCAATGCTCAGTTTGAACTGCTAATATCCATTACCGTTTTTATATGTTTCCAGTCTTCCCCATGATATTTAAGCTTTCTATGAAAGTAGAGAATGGTTTAAAAGGACCTTATAAGTCATAGGCATTGAAATACTTCTTTTTATAGTCTTTCTTTGCTAAATTGTATGACTGATATTTTTCATCACTGAAATATTTGTTTCATCTAATCTTTACATTTTATATTAGATAGCAGAATTAGCTTTCATTCTTAGTAATATGGTAAGAAATTAATAAAGATTTATAGAATAAGTGACATATAAACTAATACCAAAAACCCCATTAAATATGAGGGTATATCTGTATAGTACAGTACATGGAAAGCCACTCATCGTTAAAAAAAGAAAACTGCACGTAGAATATTAAAATAGTCTACACATGCATGTATATAGAGCAGTAGTATATTAACATGTGAACAATAATAGTATTTGTCTTTCCTCTGTCATATTGAACTCAGGACCTTGTGCTTGCGAAGCAGGTATGGGGCCATTAAGCTAAGTTCCCGGCCCCATTTATAATATTTCTCAGAAGTCTATTGGAGTATTTTTAGAATGTTAAAATATCCAACCAGTAACAAGACAATTTTGCGTTCTATGGTTAGTTGGACAGAGCTGTCATGCTGCACGACTGAACTACAGTCTTGGCAACACTGCGCTGTGACAGCTTTCCTGCGCCTTCTCATTTCACTCAGTGAAAGCCCGAGTCTGTACCCCATCTGTACAGTCACTAGTGAGGCACCCACAGGGTGGGCTTACCTTCCCTTACCCACCAAACACCTTAACATCTCCCTAGTGTCTAACATATATGTTGACATTTTCATATCCTGCATTCTTTCTTTTGCTAATCATTATCATAGATTTTTTTCTTTTTGTTCTCTGATGTGTCTCTATTCTCCTAAAAAGTACTCAGCACATAATATACTTTTAGTACATTAAGTCTTTATTTTGGTAGAGGGAAACTATTTTTGGAAATTCAAGCTGTCCTAATTAATCAAGTTCTGTGTATCACACATGCAACATCTCTCTGGTTCATATCTACCCAAAAAAGGAAGAATAATAGGGCACAGTTGAAGAAAAGATTCAGATCCTTCCTACTTCCTCTCAGCTACCCACTTGCAAGACAGGTCTTGTGGGAAAATTTTGTTCTCTCTAAGGTAAAGAGGTGAAGGAATATGTTGGAAGGGGTTTTTCCCACCTCAATCACCCTTTCATGAACTGAAAACAAAATGTATTAAACTGTTAGGCTTCTGCCATGTGTGTAAAGTAAAAAATACTTGCAGACTGGGAGGGTTAGTTAGGAAAGTCATCTGCTTGAAAACCTCTATCCTACTACCAGTTTCAAAAGACAAGTAAGCCAAGTCGAGTATCCTGATGCAAGCTGGTAATCCCAGAGGAGGGTGAGGCAGGAGGATCACACATTTGAGCCCAGCCTGGGCAAGCCAGCCATTTGACAAGACGCTGTCTCCAAAAATGTAAGTAAGTAGGGCCGGGGATTTAGCTCAACGGTTCTGCCACCTGCCTCACAAGCGCAAAGTCTCAAGTTCAATCTCCATTAGCAAAAAGAACAAAAAGCAAATATATATATATTTATATATATATATTTATATATTTGTATGTAAGTAAATAAACAAAATGGCTGGATGGCATTTGCCTATAATCCCAGCACTGGGGAGACTGAGGCAGGAGGATTTCCAGGCCAGCCTGGACTATATACTGAGTTCTAGGCAAGCCTGAACTACACAGGAAGATCCTGTCTCAAAAAATTGAAGAAAGAAAGAAAGAAAGAGAGAAAGATAGAAAGAGAGGGAGAGGCTGGAGATATAGCTCAGTGTGAAGGCCCTGCATTCAATTCATAGTACTATTACTTCTACCCTCAAAGTGCTTGAAATTTTCTTTGGAAATTACAAGTTTCAGTGTTTTTTACTTATTCATATTTTCAAAAGATGTCTTTGATATTTGTGGCTTACGTGCACCATAATTCTGGTATTTCCCCAGGCAGAACAAGTGGGTAAGTTATGTTGTATATCAGATACAGGGTTCCATACATAAATAATGTATTAACATTAAAACTTACCCGGTATAAGTCGTTATTTGTCAGGGAGAAGGGCAAGTTAGACACATACACTGTGCTCTTACTTGGAGCCAAGCCACCACTCATTTCTAAAACGGAAAACAAGCCAACACATAAGCACTCTAGAGCAGGTATTCCTCATTCCAAGTCAAATCAAATATACAGGCAATCACTGATTTAATTTTGGCGGGTCACACACCTTCCTTAGTTTAAGCAGTTAGAATCACTCCATCTGGGTGAATTAAGGCTTCCCCTTTTCCCAGCACTAAAGAGTATTTATGGACCTCCTTTCAAGTAGCTTCTTTAACCCTGTCAGTGCTTTAACCCTGTGTGTCAGGAGAGGAGAATCTTCAAAAAGATTGAGAAACCCTGAAGCTACTTCCCTGAGGTTAAAAGCTAGAAAGTGCTTTCACACCTGTACAATACCTTGCCTTTGCTCACCCACTTCAGAAAGAGCCTGGGGGCTCAAAAAGAAATTCAGCCACTAATTCTTGCTAACACTTCTGTTGGGTACCTTTTGTGATTGTGAGAAATGTGAGACATTTCTCGTTCACATCAGTCCAGACAAAAATATTAAGACAATGATGTAAAGACCTTTTGAATCTTTTTAATTATTGCCCAAATTGTAAAAGGATACATTGATTTTATACATAATCTCGGCGCAGTGGAGAAATACTGGGATTAAAAATTTTTCATATCCTGTAATTTATCTTCACACCTTATATCACAACATAAGCAAATGAGCCATAAAATTTATTATCATTTTGCAGTACTCGGTCTAGAACCCAGGAATGCTCTCCCACTCAGCTATAACCTCTCTTTAAAAAAAAATTGAGACAGGGTTTAGCCACGTTCACGGCCTGGTCTTGAACACTAGGTTCTTGTGCCACAGCCTCCCCAGTTCTGGGATTCCAGGCGTGCACTTGGTTGTACCTGTGATCCGTACATGGATTAATCCAAGTTCATATTTTCGAGGTAAATCGCGGGTGTGGCGTACATCGAGGGTGGGGAGCAGACGATCACAAACAGCAAAATCCGGTGCTAAGTCCCGCCAGTTCTCGAAGTAAAGGAAAAACTGTTTTGAGGTTTGGTGACGGAGGCAAGTTATTTAGAAAACAGCATGAACGCCACTCATAGGTCGCTGTGGTAAGTTTCTTGTTAGCGACGGCATTTAGACATCGTGGAAAGAAGTACGCGGCAGGTAAAGGCTGTCGTCCTAGAATCAAAAGGCTGACAGGAGGAAAGGCGCGAATGGTCTGGGCTGCGGCGTCGGGGAAGGGCTGCAGGCAAGGAGGCGTACCTTCTTGAGGATGGAGGCCCCTCGCAGCGGCCTGAGCATCCTGTGCCAGGGCGGGGTGGGGTCGCGGCAGCGGAGGGGCCCTGCGTGGGTCCCATCGGTCGGGCCGTACTGGCGGGCGCCTCCGTGACGTCACCGCGCGCGCCGGAAGTGCCTCCTGGGAGAACGGTGGCGGGTCCTGTGCAACGCTGCGTTTGCGGGGTGGCCGGCTTCCCGGGAACGGCGAGGCCTTTTATTTTCTAGAGAGGTAATGGGATGGGAGAGAGGGCTGGAGCACTTGTGGTAGCCTGAGGTCGCTTTCTGTAGCCGATGCGCAGTATCCTGCTGCTTTGGAGACGTGTAACAGACCTGCCTTTGCAGTCCAGGGTGGGGAGACGTGAATTTTGGGCGAGAGGAAGGTGTGGAGTGGAAGATACTGGTCCCCTTCTCAGCGCCTCATTTCGCAAAAAGAACAGCGAGCTAGGTATCTGGACTCGAGAGCAGGAAATGGGTAAAATTAGTAAATGTGTTCAGCAGACACATGTTGCTATTAGGCATGTTGGGAGATAAAAATAATGAAGTGCAAAATAGAAGTCTTGGGGAGATATATACTGGTTGGGGAAAGAAGACCAATTTTTTGGAGAGTTGGAGATTGTATGAAAAAATACTGAGTTTTGTTGCTACTTTGTTTTTGTGCATCTAGAATGGGCACATGCCGCAGTTTCTCCCAGAGCTTTTAACAGTCCTTTATTCCTACATAAAAATTAAAAAAGCAACGCAAGTTAGTTTAGGGTTAGGGTTAGGGTTAGGGTTAACTTCTACCTAACTGCACGTACAAACTAGGCAGGCCTCTTAATTTCCTGGGTGTCTGTGCGTCAGGAGATTGGAACCTTGCCCTAGAGCCTGCTCAATCGTAGACTCGAGCCGATGCCTTCTCGAGGACCTGAAGTGTAGTCCATCTAGGGCACAGCTGAATCTCAGAAGGCCTCGATGTCTCCGTGTTGCTAAAGTGACTGCTGAGACTGTGGCAAATTTGTGGCCAACCAAACCTATCATGTTTCACATCCCTGTTACTCTAGCTTACTCCCCAGGATGTCAACCCCTTTGGTCTTTGCTATACCCTCATCCCCGTTGTGCTTTGTGATGCTTCTGTTTTGGGTTATCACTGCTTTTCTTTTCCTTTCTTTTTCCTTAAATTCACTCTTCATTAATATGTGTTTTTTTCCTACTTGCTTTGGCAATTGAGCTGTTTATGTAACACTGATATTTAAGGTTGTCTTCGGCATTAGGCATATCAAATTGACTTCAGTTCCTTAGAATACTTTTTTGTCCAGTGTGTTTGCAAAGATCCTTTTCTTTATTTTTCTTTTTTTTTTGGAACCGGGGATCAAATTCGGGTTCTTGCGCTTGTGAGGCAGGCAGCGGAACCACTGAGCTAAATCTCCGACATCCTTTTCTTTCTTTAAGGTATTCATTTCCCTCCTACCTCTTTCTGGAAAATTATTCTTGGTAGCTGTCTGTCACTTTATCTGAAGGTGTTCGGTAACAGACATCCTTGCCATCCATAAATGCCCTTTACTGTCTTTGTAGTAGTTATCACATGGATAAATACTTGCCTCCGCCATTCCTGCAAAGGTAGTCTGTGGGGAGGGAGCACTGTTTGCCTTGCTATGTTTGGAATTCTAGTGTCTAATTCACTATTGGCACTTCATACTGGCAGGTAGTGTTTGAAAGATTGCAGTGAAAGTATGGTTTCAGAGGCCAAGCCACCTAATGAGCATCTAAACCTGAGGATGAATAGGTCAGCTGCTCCTAATCTACAGCCAATTTGGCTTGTGAGAATAGGATTCCAGTGTTGGCAGAACATCTAATTTCTACCAGAAAAACTGCAGAGTTTTAAAGAATACAGTTGTCTCCTATTTTTTAAATGTAGTCAATGGAATATTTATTGCTTTCGGGAGCGGGTGTTTTGGTTCGGGGATCAAACTCAGGACCTTGCCCTTGCAAGGCAGGTGCAGCGCCACTGAGCAAAATTCCTGGCCCAATGGAATATTTTTTCAGTGAGAGATAGAAGTCACATGTGGCCTAATCAGTCACAGGTTTGGAATCTGCCTTAAGTGTTGTAGAGTTCAGATAATGGATTTTGTGGACAATGACAGATTTTTAGCAGGGCTTTGGTGTAAGGGTCAAAATTGAATAAAAGAATGAAAACAGGGCCAGGGATTTAGCTCAGTGATGCTGCTGCCTGCCTCGAAAGCTCAAGGTCCTGAGTTTGATCCCCGTACCAAAAGAAAAGAAAAGAAAAGAAAAGAGAAGAGGTATTTTAATTTTGAATATGTAAATTAACATCTATCTCTCAACCTTAAGTACACTTCCCTCCCCTCCTCCTCTTCCCCCTTCCTCGTAGCCATTATGCTACTCTCAACTAAAAAGCGTTTTTTTGTTGTTGTTTTTTGAAACAGGTTGCTTGCTATGTATTTCAGGCTGGCCTTGAACTCAACTATGTAGTCTAGGGGGAACTTGAGCTCTTGGGGATCCTCTAGCCCCCTGCTTTTAGAGAGCTGGGATTATAGGCATGGGCCACCACGCCTGAGTCAATTAAAAGTATTTTTAAAGCATTGAAAAGTCAAGTGACTTGTAGAACTAGTAGAGAATGCAGCATTTAAATGTTCATGGATGCAATCAGTGATGTCTTTGTCTCCAGCCTGTTCATCCTCTATTCCATTTGTATCCTGTCAGGCTCATCTTCTCAAATCATGAGTCTGAGCACAGGTTTCATTTGACCCTGGAATTTAAGCTTTTCAAAGGTTGCATGCTGTTATGTGGAATGTGAAAGATTGCATCTCTGCTGTTAGGATTGTGTGAGTAAATGGTTTACCATGTTCTGCAAGTTTATTTCGCAAATTCATGTTCACAGTGGTGGAAATGAAAGCTCCTTGAACACAACCTGTTTTCCATTCTTTTGCAGTATGTCTCCATTTTGGTCAGTCACATGTTTCTTTGGCACTTTTTGTCTTCCCTAATGCCTTTCCCTTTCTTGTATTGTACTCTTCATTCTTACCCATGCACTTTTAAGCAATCTTAAAATTTTATTTAAATGTTTAGCTTTCTTAAAGACTTTCTTGACTACCACTACCTGCATTTATCTCTTCTAGAATTTCAAATAATGCTGCATAATGGTGGGTACTTTATTTTGGCCATTTTAGTTGGCATCAATGGTAAATGTTTTTCTGAAGACTATAACAAATTCCAGTCTCAAATTTATTTTTGATTCAGTCATCTGGAATTTTAAATATTTTTCAATAGAAATAGTATTATGTGCTTCTTATGTTGAAATAGGTGGTCTATAGATACATATGCTTTATAGAATGGATAGCAATGCCTGGCTTTAGTGAATATTTAGGTAGGAACAATTTTGGGTTTTATATGTCTCAGGTTTCTGATTTGGGCCTTTTGGCAGCTGGTGTGGTCATTGACCAAAACAGGTGCCTTCATTAGTTTCTCATTGCTGAGGTAAAATACCTGACGCTCACAAGTTAAAGTCGGAAAGGTTTATTTTGGCTCCTGAGTTTGTAGAGATTTCAGTGCATAGTTGGTTGACCCCAAGGGAGGGTAGCATGGCAGAGGGGCATCGCAGAGGAGAAACTGTCCATGGCAGAGCAGGCAGGAGAGAGCACACAGCAGCCTGCTTTCTTTCTGTCCCTTTGTATTCCATCCAGGCTACAAGCCTGTTGATTGGTGGCCCCCACACCCATCGTGGGGCTTCCGTTATCCACACCAGAACTATGCTAAACCAGGTTAGTTACTCCATACCCTTAATCCCAGTACCATACGCCCTAATGCAGCATCATGCCCGCCTGATCCAGCCACCTCTCAAAAGCCCCACCTAAACACAGGAGGCCTTGAAGGGACATCCAGATACAAGACTTAACAACAGGGAAGCCAGGAGATGAAGTGGATTTCTGAGGAGTATGAGGAATTGTTCTGGCATTTTGAATTGCAGGTATCTGTAAGACATTCTCTTGAAAGGTGTTAGGATGGAAGTAGAGATGTGGAATTGTTTTGTTTACAGTGACCATTTTCTTAGCATTTATAATATCCTCTGAATACTGAGCACATATTTTGTGCAGATTGTTCTAGAGGCATGATCACCTAACATCATAGAGATTCCCACTTTCATTAAGCTTGTATTTTCTAGTATGAAGAGATCAATAAAATGTAT